ACAGACATCACTTTAGAGCTTCAAAAAACATAAACAAAAAGAAAAGGTTTGTGTATTTTGCAAGGTATACAGTTTCGAATAATACTGCCCGGTATGGGTAGTACGTACTGGTCCAACAGTATATCGGGCGGAATGCTTAACATCGCTCCGTATCGGACGATATCGACCGTTACCGCTCGGTAACAGTGCTCTAACGGTCAAATTGACCGTTGGAGCCCTTTCTCATAGGTTTTTAAACTCTTCTTCTCCCCTATTTCATTCCATTTCACTCTCATACTCTCTTAAGCTATCTCAAACTCGTTTTTTCTCACATTTGCGCTCTCCTAAACTGTACAAAACAACGATTTGTGAATTGAATCGAGGCTAATTTGGGAAGATTAAGAGGAAGAATTTTCTAATCAAGAATTATGTATTCTTGTTCTTTAATTAGAGGTATGTATTTTTTTTTTTTTTCAGGTATTTTCAGATGATTTGACACCTAAATTAGGTGTACCGTTCGGTACACGGTATCGTACGATACCGAGCCAAGCTTGAAACACTGGTACGGTACCGTATTTCAATCCTTGATATTTTGGAGGGTGTTAAACTTTCATTCTATTCAGAAAGTGAAGTGAATTCTTGGTGAAATAGGAACGATTCTACTGGGAACAAACAGGCTGGAGACTCTTGTCCATGAAAAAAACTAATAAATAAAGTTCAAATTGTACACATTTCTTGATAGGAAATGCATATAGCAAAGACAGCAGATTAAATGAGTTATTCATGTCTAAAAAGTAGATTAAAAGATTTCATTCATGTCTCTACTCTTCTCACATATTGAGATGTATATATGTATGCATCTAACTGAGGTCATGTTTCTTTTAAATATCTCATGTGTCAGTGTTAGTTGTGTTGTTTACCAGTTACAGTTGTTTTTCTTGGTTTTTATCGTCTTTCGTGTTATCAGACCTTTTCTTCGTTTCATTTTAATCCTTCTCATTTGTGTGTGATGGGTTTCACAACCATGATCTTCAGATTTCTCTCGCTCTTCTACTCGGCAGTGACTATTCTCAGAGAGTTCATGGGTTTGGGCCTGTAAGTAACATATTTTATGAACTTCTAGAACATTTTTAATTTGAAGTGTTGTACTGTTGTTTGATCTTTGCTTTCATTCAGTTGTGTGCTTCGTTTTAAGATGGGTTGTTCAACAGTTTCTGACTTTGAGTACACAGGAATCAGCATGCCGGATTGTTAAATCTCTTGGAGATGACTCTGTCCTCCATCAATTTATTTCTGAGGGATTGAAGATAGCAAGAGTTTATAAAGGAAGAAAGAAGATAACAAAGGAACTTAGGTCTAATGTGAACAATGAGAACAAACATGGCAACCAACAAAGTGTTTGTGGTGAGTTTGAGAAAGGCACCTGCCTGAATTTTCCATTTTATCATTAGATGACCCTGCTTTACTGTGCTTATGCTAAGAGTATTTATAGACAATTATTATCTCACAGCAGTAAACGAATAAGTTCTTTTGAATACATATGTAAGCTTGTATTCTGTTTAAGAAGCTGCTTACAATAGGTATGAGTGTGGCATTGAGAAAGAAAAGCCTTTGGATGTTACAGCTAGTTTTAGTGAAATATGATGCTAAAAAGTCTGTGTTTTGTTATGTTTTGAAATAAAAACTTACTAGGTATCAGTTTGTGTTGAGATAATCTTCTGATTTCTATGTTTAAATATAAGGATCAATTCGTAATAGGAAGATATCTTGTCAAGCAGGGTGGATCATGAATTTGTATATAACTTTTTGTATCTTAAAACTGTAATTTATATATTTATTTTTCTTTTTTTTGTTCTTGTTGAAGAAAATGTCATCTGTGTATCTCTTGCTCATGTTAAGACAGTTGGACTACATATATGGAGAAGCATGTTAAGTTTTTAGGTTGGATTGTGATATACATGTTCCATGCTCATGCAATGAATTGATGTAGGATAAGTCTACTATCATTGATTAATTCACCAACATTACTGGTACACTTATTTGTGCTTATTTTTTACTAATGTCGATTGATCCCAGTACTACTTTTCTTGTATGCTTATCTGTGTTTGTTTTTACTTGTACACTTGCTTGTGGTTGTTCTAACTGTGGGTAATTGGCATTCTTTGACGACGTATTGTCCTCCTCTTTGATCTCTTTTGGTCTGTTATGAAACATAACATGTTATGGTAAATTTATGCATTTGTTACAACAGAAGGATTACTATTATTTTGCAATTTGGTCTTTCAATTAGTGGGGCTTCTAAATTACGTTCCATTTTATATACTCTTTGATAGGATTTCGCATCTCATAGAAGTTGAAGAAGCAAGATAATATTTTAATTTCAGCTAGAGCTCTAGCTAGAATTTCATAATCTGGCATACCTACTGATAATTGTGATGCTGGTACTTCTAGACCGGAGGAATCATTTAGGAGATTCTATTTGTATTGTGTGAACCCATCATTCAGCATTTGTCTAAATACTGAAGGATATATATATATTGTGATGTTGAATTGTTAGCCATAATGTTGGATTTTAGTTGTATTTTAGTCCCATATTTTGTCCAGTTAATTTCTTTCTCAGTTGGTTATGAGTGCCGATCTGCTACAGGATCTAATACTTAGTATCCTTTCTTGCTTTTCTGAAAAGAAAATGCAGTGTTAACACTTCCTCATTCATATGTTTTTTAATTAAAATTCCCATAGCAGAAGCACAGAATGCAGAATCAGATGGTCAATACCTGGATGTTATCAATGCTTTTCTGAAGCCAAAATGTCATTCAGCTGATTCTGAAGCAGTGAAAAGGTACAGACTAAATAAGAAACTGTTTTCCTTTGAAATTTTATTACTGTGATATGTTAAAACTTTGTGCTTTAAGCATATCTATTTGTGTTCAAATTAGATGCATAACTTCCGCATGTAAAAATATTTTTCCCATATTGCACGATGGTTTACAATATTTATTCTGTTTAACCTATTGGATCATCGTTTTCTTGCAGGGTTTGCACCCAACATCCTTTCCAACGTGTGCAACTTCATCATGTCTGCGAGAAGTATTTTGGTTGGAGCCCTGATAAAACAGGTTAATAAACCTTGATTAATTTCCTTTACTCTAGTCATCTAGTCTAAATGATATTAAATCTTCATAATCAAACCAGAATTGATGTGAGCGGTGTGCTCATTATACAGATAAACATGCACCATCTTTTCTAATGATCTATTCTTTTTGCAGACCAATATATCCTCCCCAAGATTGCTGAAAGAGATCTTAGGCGGTTTGCTAATCTACGTTCCACATCATCTGAGTTAGGAGCAAGAATTCCTTTACACATGGTACTTATACACACTAATTTTTGGTCGAATAAAGTTAATGCACTGCCTAAACTTTTCTTACACTCTTTCTACCTTTTTTCATAGATGCCAGTTCCTTGCCCTGTCTCTGCTATAGTAAAACTGAGAAAAGTGCAAGGACAGGACCACTATGAGGTTTCTTGGCAAGGCTTTGATGGGCTTGGGAATTCCATTGTCCCTGCTGATTTGATTGAGAGGTAACATGGTTATCTTTGGTTTCTTAAATATGCTTTTGACAGAACATTTTTGTGCACTGGGAAGATAATGATTTAGCAAGCATTATCCTGATAAACGTAGCTGCCAAGTTCTTCATGACATTTTGAAGTTTCAGGTCGCTTTCTCTACATAAACGTCTCTAGATATTTTTTTAAGCTTTGTGATGCTATGCTTGAAGTCATGCTATGCTGATCGGTGAACTTGGTTCTAGCTCGACAAATATAATTGTTTCTCAGCACTCATGTTGTGTGGAAATTTGTGTGGGACTAAATTAAGCGATACTCAGTTGGCTATAACATTGAGAATTAATCTCTGTTATCAATGTAAATTTGGAATATTAAAAAAAAAAGGTGAAAATATAACTTGTGAATTTAGTCTTGCTAAATGCTTTTTGATCCACGGTACACATCCTTTCTCAACTCTTTTCATGTATGATCAGTGCTTGCCCGGAAAGAATTGCTGAATACGTGGGAAAGAAAGCTGAAGTAAAGCAGCAGAATAGAAAGCCAAGAAGATTGACTAAAGCTCTGGTAAATCAGATCGATCTCCAGCTCCAAGGCCTGTTGCTCAGTATCGAATCACAAAGTAAAACCCTTCCTGAAACAGCCAATTGTCTGCCACCACCGAGTGCAGCCCCTGAGGTCATCGACCTCTGCAGTCCTTCCCCACCACTCCGCGCCTGTCAGGTTGCCAAATGCCAGAAGTCTATTGACATGCATGTGAATGTAATCGACATACACGAGTCAGACAATGATGCATCCCCTGAGCATGAGAGGAAGGCAAGAGAGCTTAGATTATTTATCGACAGTATTAGAGAAGATCTTTATTAGAACTTTCACCAAGTGTGTTTGTTGTATTGTAATACCATAAGTTGCCATTGTCTCTAATCAGCAAATTCTTGGTGCTAAAAGCTAGATTTATTATCCACTAATGTTTTTTCTTTCTTTTAAGCCAGGTGCATCAGTCTGCAGCTTAAAACCACTAATCGACGGGTAGTTCTGTTCGTGTGATCTCAATTCTCTACAAGGAGGTGCTGAAACTATTAGCCGGATGGAACACAAGTATTTACCATCTCAAATTTCTTTTTAGCTGTTTTAGTGCCTTGAAATTTTATACAAGAGAAATAGTTAAGTCTTAAGCATACATGTGTTACATGTTTTGGTAATAGGCCCAGTTGATTAAATTGAAAACGGCATCTCTCTTCAGAATGATTTGGTCCCAGCTATCCATCAGGTACACAGATTATGACCCCTAAATATTTGATGTTTTATTCTAAGCCAATATATAATTTGCTACTGCAATTTAGTTCAATATGTTTCGTTAAAATAAGTAGTTGCATCTCTTGTATTACCACAATATTCGAAGGAACCAAACCATGCTTCTTTCTTTAACCTAAAGAACAAGCGACCGACCTTAGTTTGTAGTCGTCCTCACTGAACATAGGAACAAATAACAGCGAACACATGACACCGAGACGAGCCCCACCGAGTGTTCTCCACATCTCCAAACTGAGAATGTGTTTCTAAGGCCACTCGTACGCTCCGAGAAACAATGTAATCTAGTTTTATGGATTTGACATGAGTACAAACTTCCTCCTTAGGATGCATTTCCTAATGCGCAGAATGTTTCCATCCCCCGAATGCTTCCTCGTCGAAGCCTCGAGTTTCCTGCAATTAAACATGGGAGCATCATGACATACTCTTCTACTTACTATATAGAACTTCACTTTAACGAGAAATTATACCATGCTAGGCTTGATGGATTAAACTGCTAGAGAAGATTAGACATTTCGTTAAGATAGCAAAGGCTGGAGTATTACCACTGGCGTGAAAGTGAGACCGACTTTTATTTCTCCACAGTATCGCTGATCCTTGACCACACTGTATATGGTTGGCGGGAGGCTTCCTTCCGCGAACACTGCTTCCAATGGGATTCTGGAAATTTACATAATAATAGAAAATTAAACAATATCTAATTTATCTTCTGAATTCCCTGTCGAGTTGTATGTCAGATTATGAGTAATAATAATGAAGACTCACTTTGCTTCTCCTACGAAATCATCTTTTGAAAAAGTATCACTGTCCATGATTTTAACAATGAGCTCCGAGACATTGTCAGACACATTAAAGACAAAGGTCTCATTCCATTCAGGATTACTACCTGCACCTGTGTCCATGGATGACATCCCAGTCTTAGTCAAATAAAACAGAAGAGTAAAAAGAGCATCCACTTGTGATGTTAGAAATCTTGAGAGATTATGCAGGTTGATGCTTTAACAACACATCTAGTGCATGAAATCCCAGTATTAGTCAAATAGAACACAAGTAAAGGAGGATCCAATTTTAGATTTCCTTGTGACTTTTAGACTTGGGTTGATGTTCTAACAACACACCTAATGGAAAACAAAGAAACCCCAAGTAATTAATTAGCACCACCTGATGCAGTACTGCTTTTCTGTTCCTGACTGCGGTACGTAAGGACGGCATAAGGATCCATTTTGCCTGCTCACCAATTGAACATATCAGTTACAAACATTATATATAATACATGAGAAACTCACAACCAAAAGAAATGAAAAGTAAATGCATTAGTCTAGAACAAGGTGCAACCAGAAAAACGATATGTATCATATCTGGGTCAAAAAAGTAGGCAAGAGGCAAAAAGCTTCTCTTTTTTTATGTTCATCATGTCCTAATTCATGATAGATATTTCAAAATGTCAGACCATAACCGGCAAGCTCAAATATTCTTTCTTGCTCCTGTGCTACCACATTTACAGGTAAATCCATCCCATTCCAATAGAGAACTTAGATGAGTTGAGTGTCTGGTACACAGATATTAGCATTGGCCTCTAACAATCTAAGAAATCTTGTGCCCAGTCATATCTGCACTTTTTTGTGTTTCTGTGGACATATAGATTATGTGAACTGACTATTAAGGTTGAGGTGGTGGTAGTTCAAAGTTTTCTGTAGGAAATTTCTTACAGCATGTTACCACTTTAAGTAGTAAATACTACCACTTGTAGAAAATTGGAGGTATCTTGTAACACATACATATTGGTAACAATAACAAGCAGATGTTTTTAGGAATGCAAGAAACCTAAACGAACAGAGACTCCGGTCATAATTGGATTGTCAATTCGGTGTGAAGATGTCCAACTATCCAGAATAAGTTGAGGATTGAGTCGATGTGTTGGTCAGAAAAATTAAACCTAGAGATAAAATTATCAAAAAATTTCAGGTACCTTACAGTAAAAAAGATAGATATTCTAAAAAATGAATTATAAAAAGTTGTGGGAGTTAACATGCCGATTGAGTAATACGTCGAAGGAAAGGACGATACATTGAAGGATCGGAGGAGCGTCGGATAAACCAATGACATGCCGGATAAAGGATTCATCATTCCTAATCATTTGTGAAGTAATTTATGGGGCTAATTAAGTTAATTTTTGATGTAATCATGTTAACTCAATTAGGGGTCAATTGGGTCTTAATTGGGACTGATTTGGGCTTATTGGGCGGCCCATTCAATGATCCAAAAGTTGGGTCAAGCGGTAGCATCGCTAGAACAGGTGGTGGAACCGCCTGCGAGTTGAAAAACTCGAAAAATCCGATCTTCGAGGTTGTAAGGCGGTAGTACCGCCTAGTGACAATGTGTCAGATGTGTATCAGGTGGTGATAAGTTGCAGGCTGTAGAACTACTTAGTGCAAGCGACGGTACCACCCGTATCCGAAAAATCCAAAAATTTAAATTTTTGACTTTGTTTTTTAAATCATTTGGGGCGCAAGAAAGGAGCAAATAGATCTGCCTAACTTATCAGTGAGAATAATAAATCAAGAAACAGATAAATTAAATTGGGATCAGGCAATTGCGGGTGGCATAAAAACCTGCAGTGTGTAGAAGTTGAAGGCTATAGAACTATCCGGAAGACTCGAAAATTTAAATTTTTGACATCATTTTTAAAATTATTTGAGGCCTATAAATAGGCCACTTAGGCAGCAAGAAAGGAAGAAAGGAGCAAGTAGATTTGCCTATCTTATCAGTGAGAATTATAAATCAAGAAACAGAGAAATTAAATTGGGATCGAGCAATTGCGGGAGGCATAAAAACCTGCAGTGTGCAGAAGTTGTGTGCCGTTCTATCCGAGGATCTCTAGTCGAAGAACGATGATCATGGATAATAGCTACATGACTACCATCAGATCTAACCGATGATGAACTTTTTTGGCTCAAGATCTACATCGGCACAGATCCGACGACGCAGAGAAACACAAAAGTCGTCTCTGCTCTCTTGTTGTCTTTGGATCGATCGATCGATCGATCCTACCACCATAAGACGCGATTCGGTAGTCCGAGTTGCTTGGTGGCATTCGACCATCAAAAAGATCTCAAACAAACCGGATCGGAATCAAAGGTTTACAAGGGAGAAAAAGGCGTGGATTCATCATACGTTCGATCGACGATAGCAAGCAGGAGAGCGGAGAAAACCTACCGAAGAAATCGACGTCCTCGAGGCCCTTGGCGCTCACGAGCAGCACCTCCAGCGTTCCACGAACCATTCTCGAGCTCTCGAACACGACGATCGCTCTCTTGGGTACGCTCCAAACTCCGGAGTAGGGACGAATGGGACGATTGAAGGGGAAAGGATCGGCCTTCTTAGCGGGGGAAGAAGAGAACAAAGACTCGGTCGTTGAGCCAATGGGAAGCGCCTGACGAGGAAATGTCAATTCTAATATCCACGATTGGTCGCTCTTACTTTTGACTCATAATTGATTTCCTTTTAGCAAAAATATGTATATACATATAAATAAATCTATCTTCTTTTATATTTAATCACATACTGAGGCTGCTGAAAATTTAACGAACCTAAGATAAAAAATATATATTACTTTTAGAAGAAAAAGCCAACCCGATGTGATCCCAACCTAAGAGCATAAGAGTGTCTAATGTGATGGCTGAGATAGTTTCGAGAAATCTTGAGTGGAATGTGTTGAGTTTTCGATGTGTCACTTGCATTAAGATCGATATTGAAAAAAAAAATTTTAGTCCGATCCCTCTTACACTCAAGTCAGTAAATAACTAAGGTATTTTAGTGGGTATGAATATTTTCTTAGAAAGAGGGTTTCTTGACGTAACGTCGAAGATTAGTTTTTATCCCTCACCTTGGAGGAGAATATGTAACCACCCCCATTATACCATTCTTTATTTTTTATCCACGTGGGTGGCAAGGGAAAGACAATCTCAAATGGTTTGCCTTAAACTTTGCCCACGCGAATAGATGGGTAGAAGGTGACTTGAACCTTTTTCTTTCATGATAGTTTTTACATAACGATTATCTATCAGATAATGATTGATTATTAATATATTTCTTATCAATTATTGAATATAGTGTCATTTCTTTATAGTAATCTTAATTCATATTTGGGTTATTTAGTGTCGATATTGATTTGGACTAAAAAGGTTCTACTCCATCTTTAAAAAAAAAGGAAGCCTACGAGATTGTGTCATCATCAAAGTTTATTTAATACTTAAGTTAGTTTAGATTTCGAGGATTCGATTAGATATTGAATGAGTCTTTAAGAGGACAAATGCATCGAGAGAGTCACTTCTTGAAGAATTTATTAAATGGTACTTTTATAGTACGCTATGAGATCATTGTACTCATAATCATCATTAAATACTTGAACCGTTACGTGATTCTTTTGACATTAGACATGATGGCGTAACATCGAACCTAATATTCATGGGGTGATGATCCTATATATTAGTTTTTGTAATTCTAACCACATACTCTAAAGAATGATGATGCATGAGCCCATGGTGGCTACGCTTACACTATATGCGACACACTTATTTTATTTGATAAATAATTTAAATATTTTATGCATCAATCTCGAAGTTCAAGAGTAATAATGGGCAGGGATTTATTTCCTTCTACTTATTCTCTAATTTAATTAATTATATTTTCTTTACTAAGACTCCTTCTAAATCTGACATTTACTTTAAACTGACTTAAAGCACTCCAAATAGTTACATAAATATCTGAAAAGACTATACATAAGTGAGTTCATAGATCTATCTGATTGATTTAGAAATGAGCTCTCTAAATAGGATACCTTAAAAAGGTTGGCCAGCCACCACCAAACCATCACCACCTCCGCATCCAACATCCACTCAGCTGACTTCGTGCCCTCTCTGTTCACACATGTTGGTCAACTCACACTGTTCTTTAGATGATGTTATACTCTCCATCGAAGCCAGTCAACTTTCCATGGTCACATCCACTTGAGAGCCACTCCAACGTGAGCACATAACATAGGTCAGTGAGTCAGCCAATCAACCAATCCTAGACCACGAGTCACAACTCGGAACCGAGTCGAACCGGCAAACGGGACTCGACGCCGCTCCGAGTGAGGAAGAGCAATGCGTTTTTCCACCGACCTTTACTTACCCGATCGCTTACCCGCCTTTGGATTCGATGTCTTTGAGGGAGCCACGTGGCACTAGGGAAGTGCGGCCTTTACGTCAGGTCACGTGGCAGTGGGAAAAGTGTTTTTATTAAGAATAGGACCAATAAAACCCATGTCTTTTCTCTTCGATACACCCGCAGCCTCCATTAGTTATCTATTCCCTATCCGATAATACCAAATTCTCAAGGCTAATCATTAGGAGCTATTTTCCTTTGTCCTATTCCACCTAAACTGGTCCACAGGGGTATCAGACCGCCGGCATGCTTCCCCCTTTTTCCACACTGATCGATTTCATGCTCGCTCACTCTCCTGTCGCTGTCTTTCCTCTTCCCATCGCTTGTGATTCTTCGCTTCTCTCTCCTTCGAAAGAGGCTTCATTTAGGGGAAGAGAGAGAGAGAGAGAGAGAGGGACAGAGAGAGGGAGGAAATGGGCGGCCCGCTAGGGGCGATCATAGGGAGGCACCCGACGGCGGCGGGGGGCGACGGGGATGGCCAGATCGGAGGCGGCGGCGGCGGCGGTATCATACGGCACAACAGGAAGTGCAGGGACTTGGTGTTCCTCGTCATCTTCATCGCGTTCTGGGTGGCCATGATCGTCAATTCCAGCTTCGGATTCAACCAAGGCAACCCACTTCGGTAAGCCTCCTCTGGCTTCCCCCCCTTTTCCAGCTTCAAACCCCACATCCAACTTTTGGGCCAAAAGATGCCTTCTTTACCTCCCTTTACCCCTTCCATTCAAGATCGGTGAACATATGCTACTGCTTTGGTCGTGTGATGGCATTGCCGCTTCTGTGGCTACTTTAGATGTTGGGAATGAACGATTTCACAACCACATTACCTCAAATCATTAAGTAATTATAAAGCTGGTATGTTTGAGCATCAGATTACGAAGTAAAAAATCACAAGTAGTGTAATATCTTGCTTCAGTCACATATTGTTTTGGCTTGGTTAGGCAACTTCTTTATAAGCTTCTATTAGTTTGATTTCTAACTGGTAAGATGCTCAGAACTATTTATGGATTCCTCTACGGCCAAAGCGAATCGAAGACGTTTTCATTTGGATCCTTGTTTTAATTCTTATCTGTTCCTCATTGTATTTGTCTAAGATAGATAGATAGATAGATACAGTTGGTTCCACTCTAACATAGGGTTTTTGGAGTATATGCATACAATAACACCCAAGATCCGATGTTCTGATGTAGAAAAAAGATGGAATTTTCTTGTTTCAATCTTCCTTTGCATGTTAATGGTGTTAATTCTTTCGAGGAGTCTTATTTCTGGTCATCATTTGATCAAATGAATGAAACTGTTTGATGCAGACTTACGTACGGACTGGACTACAAAGGAAATGTTTGTGGGAACAGGCATGCGAAACCTGATCTGCGAGAACTGATGGTTAGATATTGGCTGAATCCCAACCAGGTCTACTTGAGTGGCATCGAGAATAGCCAGTTCAATCTAGCCGATGCAAGGAGCATATGCTTGATGGAATGCCCTGTTCCTTCAGAAGATGGGCTCAACTGGGTCTGTGATTACCCGGAGGGTGACATCCGCCTCTCTATGGATGATTGGATCAACCGAGACTATGATTACTATGAGTTCCTAACATCAGAGATGCGGAATAGTTCTCTTCAGCTCCAAGGTCCATGCTATCCTGTCATATTTCCAAGTGTGAATGGTAAGTATGTCGAATCTTGCTCTATGAAGTAATATCGATTTGATATTCTCGTGAAGAAAAGGTCTAGTAATAGTTCCTAACACCAGAGATATGGAATAATTCTCTTACTCAATGAAGTAATAATTGAAACAAATTTCTGTTACTCACTCGTTATCTTGGCTTTTGTTTCTTGAGCTTTATATGATGCATGCTTCCCGACAACGAACTTTCCAAATAGTACCTTTATCTGTGAAACATCATCTGCCAGGACCAACAGCAGCGGCATGTACATTCCATAGTTACACATTCTTTTGGATGCTTTTCGGAGTACCTTCTTGGTTTCTTCCAAATTTTCTTATCCAATTGGTTTTGATCCTTAGTTTTCTGATAAATGCATCATGACATGGGTCATCTTTTCTCTGTTCCATTGCATGCTGTTGATGATATCGTATGTATCCTCATCGTCATATTTCACGTGTCCATTTTTGAAATTCCAACCTCACATTACTCTTCTGTAGAATGGTTCACTGAGTGTTTTTTTTATGACCAGTTTACTGGAGCTGTCAGTTCATTGCACGTGCATCAAATGTTTCTTTGAGGCATTGGCAGCAGATGGGTGGTGTAAACATTGATGAGAACATAATAATAGATAAAACTATTCACAGAGCCATCAACTCTCCATCACCCGTCTTGAAGGTTGGTGATTTTATTAGTTTTTACCTTGTTCATATATCTTTCGAGTATTACATTCTGTGGTTCTGATGTCATCGTTCTAGCTAAAAGTGGCCTAGTAGATGCAAATATCTTTGCCAGCTAAATGCTGATTCAGATCAGACCAACAGCTTCTGTGATACCTTCATTTGTACAAGTCAAAGATAAAATCCCGGAATGTTGCAAAATATTTCTGAGATGAATTTGATTTCTAATGGTGGTCAAAAAACACAATGCATGGTTTTGTGCTATCTAGCCTTTTCCTTTAGGAAATGCAGACGGACAGCTAATACCTTGTCGCATTCATATTAAATGTCAACTCAAAATGATATATATGCATGCTGCTCAGGCTTTGTAATTCTATTACCCCCTAAAGTATCTCATCATCCAAACAAAACCTTTACCTAATGAATATTTCCTTCATGCAGAGGTACGTGGCAGATATTGGGAAGGCATGGCCTGTGTTAATTGTTTGCGGAGGAATCCTCCCCGTCTTTTTGTCTGTTATATGGCTATTGATGATACGCCATTTTGTTGCTGGAATGACTTGGATAACAGTGATTCTCTTCAATGCCCTTGTGATATCTGTTACAATGTTCTACTACACAAAAGGTCAGATATATGTTTCACAGAAATGTTGTTATTCTGATGTGCAGTTAATTATGTAGCATCTGGTGTGGATCGAATATTTTTAGTGAAGAATTATTTGACATCAACAATGGAAAGTGGCCTAGTCGTTCATTATTAATGTCTCGATACTTCTCATTAATGAAACTATGATTATATATTTTAATGAAACTATGGTTTCTGTTCTTGACCAATGAGCACCAAATAATAATGTTCTTAAATGCTTTTCAGCTGGGTGGATTGGTAATGATGCCTTGTCGGTTGTTATTGGTGAACACGACCCTTACATCCACATAAGTGGCCGGGTTTGTTCCTATCACGAGTCACAAATATTTGGCAATTGTCTCTCTATTGTTGCTTATCTTCAGATTCAATGCAGGAAATAAATCATATTCGTGCTGTTGCTGTTCTTATGACGATAGTAATGATTATTGCCTTCCTCTCTTCACTAGCAATTATCCGCCGAATACTTATAGCGACATCAGTTTTGAAGGTAATAATGATTCTGAAATCAGCTGAATCTGCAATTTCATGTGGGAGTTAAAGCATTTTCTTCTTTTGGATAGCAAGCACAGCTACATCTAGTTGTATATATACGAAGGCATGAAAACCCAGCTATTGCTTTGAAATATATGACTTGAATTCTGACATGATCAGGCAAAACCTGATTGGCTTTGAACATCTATTAACTTATACAATAAGCAGTATTTCATTAACATCACAATTAAGATTTTGCTTTGATCGTCTTCTCCATTCATCTCTAGTATACTAAACTTTATTCTGTAAGCTAACTTTTATGGGTATGCTCAGGTTGCAGCAAAAGTAATAGGCGAGGTCCAGGCTCTTATAATTTTCCCGATACTGCCATATGTTATCCTTGCAGTATTTTACATGTTCTGGTTTTCTGCTGCTCTTCATCTTTTCAGCTCTGGTCAGATCCTCAGAAATGATTGTAGTGGAAACTGCTGTTCATTTGACCTAAAGTCCAACAAGATCAATTGTGATAATTGTTGTGGCTATCGTATCCATTACACTCGCAATATTGGAATTTCTATCCTTTTTCACCTTTTTGGATGTTACTGGGCAACACAGTTTATCATTGCATGCTCATCAACTGTCATTGCTGGATCAGTTGCCTCATACTACTGGGCTCGTGGTGAGATATCGGTAAGTAAAGCCATAAGTTAAAGTTGTTCGAGTCTCAGGGTCCAAATAGATCTATGCAGGCACAACATTTCACGAACTTAAGGTCACAGATTTGAGAAACTTGATACTTGACCGAGTAGCTAAATCTTAGCTGTTTCTTAAATTAGTTGGTTAAAAAAATGTCAGCTTCTGAGAACTCAGATTATGGTTTTGAGCCCATGGTGTACTTCCGCTTAAAACTCAAAGAGCAATCCTTGTAGTCCTCTTAAATCTGAAACTTAAGTTAATCCTTTATACTTTGCATGTATCGAGCTCCTTGTTTTCCTTGATGCAGCTTGGTTCCTGATTTAGAATGATATACTATGCTTGTAAATTGCCCTCGTGTAAATTACCATAGTCTGATGTTTCTATAAGAAAAGCTACAAATATATGCTTTTATGTGTGTTCAGACAATGACATATTTATCCACCTTCAGAAAAGATCATTCTGTGAACTATGGGAATGTTAAAATACTTATTGTGCCTAGCATGAAATGAACCTCGTTGTTTTGATTATTCCTTTGCACTGGATCATCTTTTGTTTTTGAATAATGAATCTTTTTAAACTGAATGCAGCAGGAGATTCCATTTCTTCCTGTATTTTCTTCCATGAAGCGGCTCTTGCGATACAGTCTAGGATCTGTGGCTCTTGGTTCCCTTGTTGTATCAATTGTTGAATGGGTGAGATTTATACTTGAGGCCCTACGGCGCAGGTTAAGACACAGTGATCCTGCTCCAGTAACCTGCATTGGAAAGTTCATGTCCTCTTCTTCTCAATGCTGCTTAGGATGCATTGATTGGATCATCAAGTCCGTGAATCGTAATGCATATATTATGGTAATAATTTGGACAACACTTATAGAGGAAGCTTGTATTTTGCCATGTAGACCAGCTAAATCTTGCTCCTTATTCAGTCCAATTAAATTTCTAATTGTGTTGTCTGTTCTGCTCATCTCTGTGGCACTTTACTGGAAATGTTTATCTGACGTAAGCACTAATTCATTTTTTTGTAGACCAGACAGGCTTTTGTTTCATTCTCTTTTTTTTTCTTTTAATATGAATGATGAATTTTAGGTACATCATTACCACAATTTTTTATCTCTGCCACCTTTGTGTCTGGAAAGAAATTTCATGCACCGTACTTCCACAATGTAGGGACTGTCAGGGAAAGCTTTTACTTTTTATTAGTCATATATCCATGGATGCATTGTACAGCAAATATGCACCATTCATATGCAAGGGCATGCATTTTGCTATGTTTAGGTAGCCTAAGTAGTATCTAAATCCGAAATAACATGAAAGTGGGACAGTACATACCACACAATCATCTTCAGGTTTTGGGTTTTCGAACTTCTCGTGTCTTTGGTTGCAAACAATCTTAACAATTTGATGAAGTCTGTGACAGCCTTATATTGCTAGTTCTTGGTACAGTGTTCATTAGTTAGTTCTTGCATGCTCTGTGGTTTTATGTCTTTGCTATATTGCTAACTTGTATTGGTCATTATATAATGCAGATTGCCATCACAGGAAAAGGATTTAGCAAAGCTTCTGCTATTGCTACTGGGTTGATTATGAATAATATATTGCGCATAGGAAAGGTCAATGTCATTGGAGATGTGATTCTCTACCTTGGGAAGCTATGTGTGAGCCTGTTTTGTGCATTATTTGCATTCCTCATGTTGGACACCCACAAATACAAATCTGCTCATAACAAGATATCATCCCCTTTGTTCCCTGTTTTGGTAAGGTTCTCTATTAGATGTTTTCTATCTCTTTCTCAATTCACTTGTTTCCTATGAGTTGAGAGTTGCAAATCGTGCTCTATTTTTTTCATGGGAAAGGAAGGCAAACAATGCTTTAAACTTAGTAGAACACAAACTTAACTAGAAGGTACTAGAATCAGCAAGACAATAGGTCTAGGATGTTTTGGGAGTATTTTGCCTGGTGTGTGCCATCACAGGATTGCTTCATGGATGCTTCCCATGAACCTCATTGCACACATGGGTGATCAAGACAAAATAAATGTCACATTATCATAAATAGGTCTCTAGTTTGTTTGAAGACCTTTGGGGAACTCTTTGTGCTTACTAGTTTATCTCACTCTTCGGTTACTACTAAAACTCAAGCATGAACCGCACTATAATGGGAGTAAAAGCAAGCAGGTGGATGTATGAAGTATTTTATTTCATGCGTCATGTAGCGTGTGTCGATCACCCAATATTTATGGCATGGGAAGGATTGTAGTGAACAGATCTCCAAGACATGATCTCTTTATAGGATCAATAAGCATTTAAGCAAAAAGTGACATATCTAGGATAGAAGCAGAAAGGGGTGATATTTCAGTATGGAGAGCTTCATATGATGTCTTTTGTAGAATAACACGACTATACTATCGTCTTTAGTTGGGAGAATATGTTCCTATTCCTATCAGTGGATATGATGTAAAGTGTTAGGAGAGATGCCCGGAGTTTAATGACAAAAGACTGTCTTCTTGGCATGGTCATCATGTCTGTATTTGTGAATCTCTCTTTGCTTTTGCATTCTTCTAAGCCTTATATCCAACCATGCAGGAAAGTGCTTTTCCTGCTGGACTATCAATAGCTTGCTCTGTAAATATATTTTCTTTGTGATGCATATAGGTTGAACACCAGTGTTGACATGCTTAAATTTTCATGCAGGTAACTTGGGGGCTTGGTTACATAGTTGCAACCCTTTTTTTTGCAGTCGTTGAGATGTCGATCGATACTATCATCCTCTCCTTCTGCCAAGATGCAGAGGAGCATCAAGGGACTGCACAATATGCACCTCCCCTGCTAATGGAAACACTAGATAGCCAAGGAGAGATGCAGCGACTAACACAAGGCTCTTAAGCAGATGTTTTTTATGTGTGTTTCATTGCCCTGAGATTACCAATCCTAAAGCGAAAGCATTATCCTTTTTCTAATGCTTTAATACTGATTTGTTGGTCACCTTGTCATTTCATTTATGTTATTGATGTGTCTTCAGAAGCTGTGGTTTTGAAGCCCTGTCATAACAGGTATGATGACAACTCACCTGAACCTTTATAAGCAGGTGATTATAGTGTTAAAGGATTGTAATCTTGCCTCTCTTGAATGATCTTCTAATGTCCACTTTTTGGTAAAATGGGCTGGTTTTAACCTTGTTTATACCAAAAACAACTACAAAGCTAATGACTTCTACAATTGTAAACCAATTCTCAATCAAACATTCACAGAACACAAAGGTGGAGTTTTGCTGTGCTACTAAGAAATAGGAATAGTTACTTCTATGCCTATTGACTGTTTTATAAGATGGTATCAGCTTTTTACACCTATTGGTTTTTGCTCTGTGCTATTCATGCACATAACAAAGACAGGCCTTATACAAGCCATGTTCTTATGATTATGCCATTCTATTAAATTGGAAATGCATCTTATAGAATACTTTGGGCATATTTGTGCTCTCAGAAGATGATTCTGTTATCTGTATGCAAACCGACACTAATTATGCCTTAGTAGTTTTTTTCTTTTCGCAAATTTGACATTGCCATTAAACAAACAATCGATCCACAGTTTCTATGGTTTCCTTTTTCCTCGATGAGTTTGCATGATGACTTGAAGAAATCAAGGAAAGAAAACTAGGAACAGATACATGAGAAGAGATGCGCAACAAACATATTCACACTGAATTAAACGATATCGATTCTAAACTTCTAAGCAGGGTAAGACGAAAGATTAAGAGAACTGGATCTACATGAACAGAATTGTGCTACATCCTTAAGCTTGCGTGAAGAAATCAAGGCCACAGATCGATGGATCCGAAGAGACACGCAACAACGTATTCAGATCTAACTTCTAAGCAGGCTAAGACGGAAAATTAAAAAGCATCCGTGAACGTGCTGGATCTACATGAACGGAATCAAGAGAAGCGAAGCCGAACAAACCCGGAAGAGGAATCGATCATCCCCTGAGCTTGCGGACCTTGTACCATCCCTTCTTGCAGGCAGATCCGACCACCTTCATCCCCTTCCTGAACAGGATCTTTAGCTCCTTCGCCCGATCCTTCAGCTGCTTCTCGAGATCCCCCATCTCCTTCCTCCTCGATCACCACCAACACACAGAAGCAACCACGATCTCAATCTCGATAAGAGGAATGAAGGCCGCAACCAAACGGATTCTGTTTTGGTTTTGTTTCGCCCCTGTTCATCGGAGCGTCTTTTCCGCGGGCGTTTTCGGTGTCCACCGGGACCTATAACGTTCGTGCAGCTTCGATGGACCGTCAGATCTCTGCAGGATTGGCAGTCGGGCCTTACCGGAACCGGAGTGGCGCGTAAGGTTTTCTATGAGGTTATTTCAAAACCCATACAAATTTCCACTTAAACCATATAATTATTTAAGTAAATAGAGATTAATTGTATCGAGACGTACCGCTCGATTTGAACAACATATACCAATCCAACAAGAGACCAATACGTACGATATATTAAGACACCTTATTGTACCGTGTGTCGATATACTCAATACTCAGTACGTATCATATCGATGACCGATCGATACATCGATATGAACCAATAATACAAATTTAAATTTTGTACATAAATATTCGAGTTTACATGTGAGCATCATTTGATTTGATGTAATAAAAAAAATTAATTAAAAAATCTAATTAGCATTAACTAATTTGAATTACAAGAAATTTAAATACCTAAAGTACTTCTAGTATTCTTATAATCATAATAAAATTTTAAATGAATTTTAAATGAATTAATTAACCATAAGGCATATATTAAAGTTTCTAGATTTGGTAAGCACATATATGCCAAACGTAAACAGAGAGTAATAAGTACGAAATTACTTATATGGTGAGATATATACATGCAATTTACCTTTTTTTAGAAAATATTTAAAAGGATATTATTCAATTTTTAGCCATATATGGATCAGAGACAAAACAAGGTTTACCGGGAGGAAGATTTGATTCTGTTGGCTGGCAGCAGACGAACACAACCTCATTTGATGTAAGCAACTGTGCATCCATAGTTCATCGGGCTTTCTTCTTCGAACTTGGCCACTCGAGGGTGATTCCTTAGTACCTCAAGGACACACTCCTTCACAGCTCCAGTCCCCGTTCCGTGGACGATGAAGAGAACCCCACGCGATTTGCAACCCAAGATGGCCATCTGAAGACGATGGGAAGCTTCTTCGACCCGCTTGCCCCGCAAATCGACTGTGTTCTTCGACGTCCTCACGGCTGGCCCGAAGGCAGCCTCCTCATCCATGTTTGACTCCGTTGCAGGTCCTTTGTTCCACCTTCTTATCTGCAGTAGTTCAGAAAGACAAACAAGTGTTTGATATAAATCCTCTTGCAACCATGGAAGTTCTATGAGTAATATTGATTTTAACATGCATCTAGTTCAAATAAAAGCAACTCGGTTATTTGATGTGGTTCAAGCAAGTGGAAATTGATGATGGAGTGCTTGGGAAGTTGGATGAAGAAGATGAAATGTCATAGAAGAAAAATGACACCTTAGAACTAGACATGATAGAAACCCTTTCAAGTCTAATTGGAGTGCAAGCAAGAACTAGAGGAAGGAGGGGAAAACAAAGGCTATTCTTTTCCTTTCAGACAACCATACTATATAGCCACTAATAGAAGGAAAGAAGCATTAGAAGACCTAAATGTAGGACTTTCTTGCATACCTGCCCTCTTGGTTGCAAAGCAGAATTATGCCTGCCCGAGCTACTTTGGACCAATCTCATGTCATTTCTTTTCACGCGCACCTTTATTTTCCCGTACTGGACAGTGGTAGTGCCGTCTTCTGCTGGTGCTGCGACCACAGTAGCAACCTTGTCTCCTAACCCTGTAACATATACTTGATCTCCAATTTGTGGTAGATAAGAACTGCCGCTTTCTGTGCTCACATATGACATATCATCTTTTGGGGAATGCGCTGCAACAATGGAAGCGATGGCTGTCTCAGATTCTCTCATTATTGAACTAAATTGATCAAGAGTTGCACTTTGAATTCGACTCTCAAAGTCCTCGATTATGGAATCCATCTTAGACTTAACAATCTTTAGCTCCTGTTGTACCAAATGAGACTCCTTCGCCTTAAGGGCTGCCACTCGCTTATCAATATCTTCAGCCTCAGATTGTATCTATGTAATTCAGTAAGACGTGTGAAATCAAAATATAAATCAACAGGATAGGCACAGACATAAAGGAAAAACCATATTAAGTCAGTGCACCTTGTCAATATTGTAAAATTAAACGCATGGCAGCAAAACGATGAAAGATCTCGGAACAAATAACAAGAGATCTGAATTTAAAGTAAGAGAACTTTTTGAGTTACAACTGCTAGGATGCCCAAGGTAACATTTTGTGAAACTTACAGAATAGATATTATGATACTATGAACTCGTACCTCAGAATGCAACTTCTTCACTTCTTCAAGTACCAATGCAGCTTCATTTGCTTGAGCCTCTAACAGGTTTCTTTCCTCTAGCAAAGACTGATAAAGTGAACCTTGTCTTTCCCTTTCTCTGTCAGGCTCTAACTTCTTAACCCATTCTTCTGCACGATCTAACATCTTCTGATCAAAGCCAATCGACTTAGCAATACTCAAGGCATTTGAGTTACCAGTACTTCCCCATAGAATACGAAATGTGGGTTGCAAGGTCTCCAAACAAAACTCCATTGCAGCATTCTCAAACCGAGAATCACCAGATTTCAGGCGGCTCAAGTCGGCATAATGGGTAGTAACAACAGATAAGTTGGCATGATCAGCAAGGTACCGGAGAATGCAGGTTGAGAGAGCCACACCTTCTGATGGATCAGTACCACTACCAATCTCATCTATCAGGACGAGTGAATTTTCCGAAGCAACCTCTGTGATTTTGCAGATACGCGATATGTGCCCACTAAAAGTAGACAGGTTATGCTCCAACGACTTCAGTCCAAAAAATAAGAGTTTCAGAAACATACCAAATTTGAGCAACTTATCATAATAGATACCTTCAGAAGTGGATAGAAACTACCTGGTGATCACCAATATCTGCAAGAATTTGGTCAAACCATGGCAGTTTTGGCTGATCCCTAGCTGATAAAAACATTCCAGCCTTTGACATAATAGATGCCAAGCCCAAAGTTTTCATAGTAGCTGTTTTACCTCCAGTATTAGGTCCAGATATCACAACCACTTTAGTAGAATTTTCTATCTTAAAGTCCACAGGAACAGGGGGTTCTACTTCAAGAAATTCTTCAGAATCTATCGACAGATTCCTCCTATCAAACAATATCGAACTTCCACCTCCTTTTTCTGAGACAGAAGGCAAGTGTCTAAGGGAAGGTTCAAGGAGCAAAGGGTGCTGAATGCTTTCTATATCTACTGACAATGTATCTCCAGTTATAATTGATTTGAACCTTTCATAGTCCTGGATGAGGTATGGACGAACACCACCATTCCACAAGGCATATGCTCCTCTGGCAACAGCAAGATCCAATTCTAAAATCTTTTCCATTAGATACCTAATTTTTGTCTCCGCATGTGCAATTTCTGAAGTTAATACACCCAGAATAGCAAGTTCCTCAGCTTTCTCATCATTGAAAAGTCTGACTTCCATGTTGTTGAGTTCAATAGCATCTCTTGGCTCAATAAAGTAGGTTGCTCCAGAGCTACTAGAACTAAGAACAATACCTTCCGGGAGCAGAGACTTGTGTGAAGCCTTAATGCCAACACACATTCTAGACCGTCGCTTTGTAACCAGAGGACTATCAATGCCCCCAGACTGGAAAACCTTCATGGACACTTCCTTCAAAAAAGACTCGAGTTTCTCCATGTTCTTCCTCCTCTCCATCCTAATGGATTCCAATTTCATGCTAGCTTGATCCAGAACTATGGAAAGTTTACCATCGATGCAAAATGCTATTTGGTTTGCTAATTCTACCAGAAAATCACAATCTTGCAGAATCTCCAGAAGAGAAGTGTACCTGTTCATCACATATTCATGATTATTTTATGCAACATTTTCTTGTAAGAGAAATTTTCATCAAGTTCTAGTTTGATAATCCACCAAATCCAACTCAGAGTTGTATACATCGGTTGAAACACAATAATCAATTAATATGATAAAAGAACATTAACCAATCAAACTGAACAAAAAAGCATTTAAAAACAATTTGTTTTCATACTCTTACTAATTGGTGCCAAGCATTGTCTCTAACTTCATTTGGGCAACTTATCAAACACATCAAAATCTTTAAGTTGAGTGTGAAAATGCATTAGAAGAATCTAAAATGGGATGTAACATCCTATTGACTCGAGAGAATCTTCAATGAATAATATACGAACTGATCTGGAGGAAGAGTTGAAAACCTATCAGAAGACTCATCGGCCGAGATCTGCTCCAATTGCTCAAAAACCCTTCTTGCCGATTGAAGACTCCGTTCAATGGCACAGAGCTCCCGGATGCCAAGAAGCTCGCCTGCAACTGCCGCTCTGACAATCTCCGACACATCATCGATCCCAGAGAAGTCCAGTGGCCGCGGAAGCAGCACAGCCGCCGCCGTCTGGTCCAGTAGCTTCTCGCTCTCCTCCCGATCTCGACCAACCGGCAGATTCCCGCTCCGGCAAAGGGCGCGGCCCACGCTCGTGGAAACGAAGGCGGAGACTTGGGAGCAGACGGAGCCCCACTCCAAGGTCTCCTCCGTTTCCCTCCGGAGCTCCTCGCGAATCCTAACCCTCTCGGCATCAGCAGCAAGACCGGCTCCGATCCTACTCTTCCTGGGGCTAATTGAAATCGCGGCGAACTTCGGTTTCCCCTGGAAGGTCTTCGAAACCCTAGTGCTCTTTCCGACAGAGCTGACAGAGTTCGCAGCACGGATCGATGTGGGCTTGGAAACCCCAGCATTCTTGGACGCGGAGACGGTGTCATCGCGAGAGAAGAAGAGATTTGGGGGTTCCTTGAAGCGAACGAAGCTATTGAAAGCTTCCATGTAATACGAAAGGAGCAGCTTTTGTTTCCGTGAGAGGAGGATAAGACTTTACCGTTATCTTTATCTAAAGGTTGGATTTGGAGGGAAGCAATCAAATAAAATAGGATTTTGCCCCAATTTCTTTTGGGTTTTACTTTATATATATATATATATAGTGAGAGAGAGAGAGAGAGAGTCAACAAAGCAAACAGTACTCTGTATTACACGAAAAGAACATTTTACCTTTTACTCCAAATATTTATCTTTGATATATTTTTAGAATAATTCTAACACTGAAAGAACATCCCAAAGGCATTTTTATCATTTAACGCATTCAATTAAATTTAGAGAATGATACACTATGATTTGCTCATGTAAACTATGGTTTGCATTCAGTTTAAGATCTAAGTAATCCCACAAGTAATATCATCAAACAGGTGCACTGCACTTTGTGATCAATCCATGGAAAATTTTGCTGACAAGCACATGAATGCATCTGAACATTAAGATAGATGCTGCCCGTTCACTGTCACCTTGGGGAAGTCAATATGCATAACAGCCATGGGTTATCCATAAGTTAGCTCAGTGGTTGACCTTTGAATGAGATGAACAATTGTGAGAACAGATACCAGCAGGCAGACAAGTTTAGCTCAGCTTATCTTAGATCATTAATTAATGGATGACAAAATTAAGGATTTAAATGGGTCCCATATCACAATCTCACTCTAAATGGGAAAGAGGAAAAGGCACACAGCATCAAAAACTTATAATGCTGTAAAAGAATCAAGCGTAACCACACAAACACTCCAAGAACATTGCTTATCTATGTGTATGGCCTTCGATTGTAACTCAAGCAGACAAGGAGCTGTAACTCTACTGCAGCAGCTAAGTATGAGTTGAGATCCTCCCAGCTTATAGCACCTGCAACCTTGCACAAGGAGGCATACATCAAATGAACATCTGTATCAGAAAGCAACAAATAAATTCAAAATGATGGGTAAGAGAAGACCAAATTACCTAATCCTCCTCCATTGGAACTTCTGGAAAATCCCATCTATCTTCCTCGATTGGTTTATTGATCACAGAAAATGGCGCACGTAAGGCTAGTCAAGAAAACAATAGTACAATATATCTCAAAACTAGTTTAAATAGATCGTAATCCAAAACCAAAGAAATAAAACTCAAAAAATGGAGAGTGCAACTGTTATATACTATGCTGTAATCCAAAAAGGAAACCACTGCTGTAGATGCCGCCAAAAAACATCTCAATAGTTATCAGTTTATAAATAATAACCCCAAATGAAATGTTAAGTTCTGTATGGCAAGACTAATCTGCAACTAATAAATTGCTCAAGTAACTAATAAATTAGAATAGAATACGTGCAATTTGAAATATTGGTTACAAAGCTACCAACTAGATTTTAACACAAGGAAACTGGCAAAGGATATATATAGACATACGATCATCCTCCTCCCCACGATTTCGGCTATTCTTCAGTTCTCTACGGATTTCAGGAGTAACCTAAGCAAACATTAAAATAAAAGAAATCAGTAGATGCTTCAAAATTGTTCAAGGCATTTGAAACTGTAACAAGTGTTTATTTCATACCAAATGATGCTTCTGGTATTGTATTAAACGGTGAAGATCATCCTTCTGCTCCTTGTTCAGTTCATTCTTGTACCTGTTATAAGTATCAACCTCACTTATAAATGCATCGGTAATACTGATTACAACAAACTAAGAGCTTTAGTTGCTTGTGGTATATCTAAGTTATTGCAATGGTACCTCTACTAGCCTTTTGGAAATCCTACAAGTTGGATCTGGACCATGTAGGTGGGACAAAACTATGCAAAACAAGTTCTCCAAGAATCCATTCGGACATGGGTTTGAATAGGTACAAGCATGATGGCAAACCCATCACCGTCCTATATTATCAGTACCCTCTCTCAAACAGACAATTCTGCTTTTGACCCAACAACTGTCACTCACCTGCTTTTGTATGAGTATAATCGTAACAGAAAATGCAAGGTCTAATGCATACCATAGTATACTATATCTTGGGACCTATATATGATGCAAAATGTCCATATAATTGAAACTTCGATCGATACACAGAAAGAAAATTTACTTCAGTTGGTTTAGTATCTAATATGATGTACCAGTTGTGCATCTTAAACAGAGATGGAATGCATCAGATGTTAATACAAATGGCCTAATGACCTCGTGCTGAACATCACCAATGGAGCTTACTCTAAACACAAATAGCAGGATTGATTACATAATTTATGTTTCTTGCAGAAGCAGCATACTACACTGGAATGCAAGTCAACAACCAGAGAATACCTAAAAGCAATGAGTAACAAAAGATGCAGGATACAACCAATACCAAAGAAACCAAATGTGATTTCTAAGAAAAAATACTACATTATTAGAGCATGTCCTACATAACATAATTTGGTTATTTGCCAGTACAGGTTAAAGAAGTTACCTTTGAACAAATGCAAGAAGTGATTGGTGCCATATAACAGGCATGATTCTTGTATCGTCAAGGAACCTCATGAAATGGGCAACTACTGCATCAAGCACTCGATATGGCAATGCATACTTCTTATCTAGAAATAGCTTGATAAAATAACTGCAACAAATTAAATGATAGCCAACATCAATGCTCTACTGCAGATAACTGTGCCAATAATCCATCTGCGTATATAGGCAACTTAAATCAATAAACATATTTGAGCCACATGCTTCATGTTCACTGGAGCAAGCTAATAGTCTGTGTCCGTTAGACTCCATGAGATTTGCAGAACAATTGATCTTGCTCCAAGTCTCCAACTAAATAATGAGTTTATAATTAGCTCACATGTATAATGCATCAAAATTTGCCAAAGCCTTTCAGTATTTCGACAAGGCCTGTAGCTTAGCTATTTGTTGCCGTTGAGGATTTTAAAAGCTCATCATAAAGTTCCTCAAAGAGACTCTAGTTCAGTTAAGTATTTTCATAATAAACAATGATCCTAGATAAAAGTACGTTTAACATGAATCTATTAGCCCAAAGGCTGTTTTAAGGTCGAAATCCTAGTTTATCTGTTGTTTTAACTTTTAAGATTGTTACCAAGGACTGATCGGCCAAGGAGAACATGAAGACAAAATACCTTCAAAAAAATAGCTATAGAAGAACAAAGTGGCCCACCAATCACTTCATTGACAAAGAAAAAAAAAATCATACATCTTCGAAATGTCCTTGTTTTATATAAAAGCTAGTTCAATGCAGTTAACCAGAACAATATCACATCCCTCAGAGAAATAAAGGTGGACTTAATTTTTAATATTCTGAAAATACAAGCATATTCTACGGAGTGACTCTCCTCTAAAGCACTTGTGTATACTATATTTAAACAGATATGACACTGTTTACAACAAAGCTATGCACCAAGTTTGCAACAGCGCACATAAACAACAATGAGACTTTTTTTCGTTAGCATATTGTCTTATGGATGATAACAAATTGACCAGGTTTGTTATAAAATGACTTGATAATTTCACCATCAAAACTTCACAATGAACATACCACAAAAATAAAAAATTGGCATCTCAGAAGCAAGATTTATTAAAGCTTCAACAAAGATTTCAACATCAAGAAAATAGTAAGAAAGAATACTGTTTTATAACCATTGCACTTGTATATTGATCCACAAAAAGATATATTAACCTATAGCCAATATAGGATTTCAAAATTATCTTGTAAAAACCAAATTAAATTGCATTAGGACCAAACACAAATGAAGTATAAGTTAGATATTACATTGTATTTGAAGTTCACCTTTAGTGTCTTGTGCTAGGTAATTTAACATGTATTCAGGAGGTATACGATATACAGCTTAAACATAGATGTCAACAGATATCATGTATAGTAAATAACAAAATATCAGAAACGTGATTAATAAAACAGTGATATCCAATTTCAAATGGCAAAACTAATATTTGCTACTGCCCAAAAAGTAAACTAGAGAAAATGTAGCATGATTAGAATAATTTTACCTAGTTGTTCCACAGTATTCTAGCTCTGCCAGCTTCATGAGAGCTGCACTGTAAACAATGATAGATTTGTAAGTACATAAAGTTGGTCAATTAAGAAAACCAACTAGCTGACAGCTACACCATAAATGACCAAATTCTTGAATTGTAGCACTTTACCTTGAATGAAGGGGCGGAATGGATACTTTCTGAATTATGCTTCCAATGATAACAGCTTCTCTAAGAGTGCACGTGCCCGACTGACAATAAGCAAATATACAATGTTTTATGACCAAAGAGCAACTTAATAAAATTCTTCTTCTTATCTAAAGCCCAAAGGCCAGATATAAATTCAAGGGAAAATTGAATGACTTGATGATTATTCAACTAGCCATAAGAAGATGTGAGAGTTTTTATAACTATAATACAGAACCTTCACAACATGCTAAACTTCTGTTAAGAATTAACATTTTCCAGAAATCAACCTAGAGATGTATTCATATAAAGCTAGCAGATCAGTAATGACAATTAGCCAGAATTAAAGACCATAGAGAACTTACCAACATAACAATTGATTTAAAGACAACAGATTATATTTGAAAATAATTAAAGCCAACATATCCAACAATTAAACATGTCTTGCTTCCTGGTCACGAAATGTCATCAAGATGATCACAATATTCTTACGAGATTAATGCTAAAAGTTAAAACAACAAGTCAACCCCAAATAGCATATCAGAGGGATAAATATCTTGATGCATGTATCATACTCATTCAATTAGTTTAGCTTTAAGAAATCAGTAGCTCTATAAGTTGAGATAAGGGCAAACCTAATAGTATAGATCATATCATATGTGTTCAACCAAAGGTGTACCTGACAAAGTGGTAATAGAACACCCTTGAAGAAGGCAGCTGGCTTATAGAGGGATTTTTTAAGTGCTTGATACAGAGCAAAATGTAGTCGCTTATTCTTTCTGATATCCTCCCTAACTCGTGGGAGTAAAACAAGAGTGTAAAAGCGTTGGGCTTTTTTCACACTCAAGTTTGATGAGAATATTTTAGTTGCCTGAAACATTGCATTTGGAGACCAATTTTCTGGCTCTGTTAGATATAATACATCCTCCCAGAGTTCAATGGCCGGTATGTGTTTAAAAGCCTTTGGAATTTTCCCATTGGTATACCTACTGAGCAGCTTGCCCACCCTGTACAAAATGAAACATCATACATTCATCATATCACATAACGTACAGGAAGAAGGAAAAAGAAAAAAAAGAGTGTAATGTACCCCTTGTACAGATCAATGATGTTACTATCCAATTTAGGAAGAGGCCGTTCTGTGAAAAAACATAGCCAGTAAAAAAGGATATTAGATTGTCATCAAAATAATTTAAGATCATACAAATAACACAAGAAAGAAAGCCATCTATTGGATGTAACAGGGACATAACAGTAAATACATCCACTGGATCTTACATATCACTTGAACACAATCAATTTAGTCTATACAATGAGTAAATAATTGATAACATCTATCAAGCAACATTAAGGTAGAGATATATGAATTATATATATATATATATATATATATATATATATAA